TAGTACCTTTTCCATTTTTCTAGATATTTTTATTACGGTGTACTAACTGCTCAACAATCACAGGTACAAGCTAACAAGGTGTATCATAAATGAACAATTATTCAAATATTATTATTATTATTAAATTGAACAATTGCATGTAGCAGCTAACTTAATTCATGTGATTATTGTACTGCTAGGCATCTTTGGTTTCCTCCTTTTGTGTAATTCAGATGGAAAATATGTGCCTTTTTATCATTTGAGTCGCTTAACAAAAGTTGCCAAATAAATTTTAAAAATAGCTAAATTTGTTGCTAGGTGCTTTTGGAAGAAAAAGTTGCTAGGGTAGTCTGAAAAGTTGCTAAATTTAGCAACAAAATTATTAAATTGGCAACACTGTAATGGGAGTTTCTGGATCAGTGGGCGGGGCCATAACGCAGGGGTGTTTTCCATAGATATATATATATATGTAGATGCCTCATTAGCAACTGTTTCTATGGGCCGCTATACGTAAGCCGTCCGCCATCTTGAAATGGTCAACTTGACGTCATTCACCATAGTAATCACTGAATATTCGATATTGAAGGGGTGGGGGGTCAGCCTGTCAGTGCTCAGACCATACGCCGCACACTGCATCAGATTGGTCTGCATGGCTGTCGTCCCAGAAGGAAGCCTCTTCTAAAGATGATGCACAAGAAAGCCTGCAAACAGTTTGCTGAAGACAAGCAGACTAAGGACATGGATGAGACCAAGATAAACTTATTTGGTTCAGATGGTGTCAAGCGTGTGTGGCGGCAACCAGGTGAGGAGTACAAAGACAAGTGTGTCTTGCCTACAGTCAAGCATGGTGGTGGGAGTGTCATGGTCTGGGGCTGCATGAGTGCTGCTGGCACTGAGGAGCTACAGTTCATTGAGGGAACCATGAATGCCAACATGTACTGTGACATACTGAAGCAGAGCACGATCCCCTCCCTTCGGAGACTGGGCCGCAGGGCAGTATTCCAACATGATAACGACCCCAAACACACCTCCAAGACGACCACTGCCT